ATATATATATATATATATATATATATATTGTATATATGTTCAACTGTAACCAGATTAAACTCATATTGATGGACTTGAGCAAAAAAAAAGGCATAAACTTTAACTTCAGATTGCCTCCATTACGAAAAAAGAAAACAGAAACTAATTCCGCTGGAAAATCTCTTACATCATCCTCAAAGTTCTAGGAATAGCTTTCAACGCCTGCAAGTAGTTTCCAGGACATTTCTTCAGACATTGCAACTGTATGAGAACAAAGAAGAGGAAAAATTTATGATCAGCCATGAAGCACAAGATGAAGTAACCCAATTCAGTAAAATCAAACTAATATTATGATCACCATGCCAAATGCATGAAATTAAAGCAAAGGATGCACAATGCGAAGACGGGGAAGGATTACTCGAATAAACAAAAGGATTTAGATATAAAACTTAATCTTTCGAGATAGTTTATGGAATCAAGAAAAAATCTAGCATGTCCCAACAAAGCAATCATAGTTGGTGACTTACTATAGCTCTTTCAGAAACCAGATGTCGCGGTAATTTCCTCAGGGTCCCTTCAATATCATTAGTTTCCTTGTAATATTCTCGTGCCTCTGTAATCACATTCTTTTGTAATCTAAGATCAAGTTAAAGAAAACAAAAACCAACAGAACACTATAGCAGCATGCACTAAACAGTTTAGCAAGAAGTAGTCAAGTATAAAGAAGAAAAGAAAAGTATCCTCACAACACCCAGAAACACAAAAAGGATATCCCCTTCTCTTGGATCAAGGAACATGCTTACAGTAGATTTCCACTCTCCTCTGAGTAGTGAACCTCCAATTAGGTGAGTTGGCACAGAACCGCTTCCAAATCGCTGAATTCATTACCATGCATACTATAAGTTATCTTACTAACCACAGCAAAATATAATCCACATGCCTTAAGACAACTTATGAGAAACATACAGCACGTGTAATGGCTAGAAAGCAGTTTCATATAGCTTTAGATACAAAAGAGAACAACCACTTGTCCAAAAAATAACGAACAAGACACCTATATATCAATAACATTTAGCTTTTATTGCAAATAAGGAGTCTAAACCAGGACAAGATATACTCAGAGAGAGAGAGAGAGAGAGAGAGAGAGAGAGAGAGAGAGAGAGAGAGAGAGAGAGTACTTGTAAACCAAAGTAGTTAATAAATCCCTGCCTTCCCAAGGCACTTGCGGAGGCTTTGATGGTATCTTCAGAATCTGCAACAACTCCTCTGAGAAGTAATGTGAGTGCACGCAATGAGCAAATTAGATGGTGAATAATAGAAGTAGCCATGAGAGATGTTTTATTCAAGCGCATGTAATTACGTAAATGATTACTAGGAACAATCTTACCTCAATGTAATTGAAAACCGATTTCCCAATAGTTGGCCGAGGACAAGTCCTTCTGTCACATAACTGGATAAATGCAACTATCTCATTAATATGCATTAAAACTCAACTGACCGGGAATACCAATGATTCACATTCATCAGCCTTACCAGAAGTCACCTACTTTGATACCGATCAACCTATCATTAAGAGCAGCTAATTTACTAGCAAGCTTCTTAAAAACGGTTACCTGGAAATTCAACAAGAAAATGAAGTTCATTAACTCTTTGGGTAACCACTATGCTCGGATTACAAAAATTGGCACTCGAGGATTCATGGCAGTAGACATACATTGGAAGGGAGCTACTGTGGGTTTAATAACTAAAGGAAATTCAACTTATGGAATATCATTCAGAATCCTCTTACCCATTGATTGGATAACAATCAAAGTGAGCTCCTACCTGTTGGTTGAATAATATGTAGTTTTAAAGTGGATTATCATAAGTCTGATACATGAAGGCCAATAAGAAGCAATTCTCTTGTGGAGCACATGTTTCATCTAGAGAAGAAAATATACAATATTTAAAGGCATAAGCAGAAATATTAGTGAGTATCAATTACCCTCTGAGTCGTGACAGCACGCTTATCCTTAGTACCCGCAAACCCAAAGGACCTTGGCTATGGAAAAGAATAATATTAATCTATCAAAAGAAAAGTAATATGATATCTATACATTAAGTCAAAGATGATAACCAAGTACCATAAATTTCTACACATCTGACCAATCTCAACTGTTTACATGGAAACCAATAATCCAAGTTTTGCTCTCTGTCATGTGGTGAAAATTAAGTACAGAACTAACTAAAAAACAACTATATTTCATCACAGTACTTCACCAGTAATTACTAAACATTTAATGATGACTTTCATTTAAAAACATCGGTACGGTCAATGATGCTGCAAATGGACCTTAACAAAATCAAAGACACCAATAGATTACTGAATTGCATGCTTAATTATACTAATGTGTTGACTATGTCCATGCATGCAGGAAGGAAGCAGAGAGCAAAGACTGACTCTATAATGAGTTCCTTAATCAAAACCCTCATATATTTTTCAAAAAAGGAGCAACAAGACACCGCTAATTACCATGTAAACAAATCAAGCAGTGGAGATGTTTTGCCAAACATTGTGAAAACAGTAGTCATATGTCTAATGGTGTTCAAGTCAATTAGTTCTCAGGTGGAACCCATACCTGGACACCAAGCATCTTTCCTATAACTCCTAAGGCTTCCTGTGTATCCTTGTTCTCCTTGTAAAGATGAAACCTGTACATCCACATTAAACAAACCTTTCAGATAAGCTGACATAGAGTTTTAATCAACAAAAAATAAAAAATTTTGAAGCCCCCAAAAGAAAAACAAATCTGGTTATTATTTGCATGCAAACTGACATGGGAAGAAGAAAATTAGTTGACAGCTACATGCGGAAAACACTTGATTAGCCACTAGCCAATTGCCTCATCAGTCATTGTTAAGAAGAGTACTTCAGGCAGACAGTTTCAAAAGAATAAAGGAGAACGATGTAGATTAACTATAAGTGTTCCATTGTATGCATTACACATGATTAGATATATGAATAAATCAGACAGCTCTGCTGTGCCAACTACACCAAATCTCGATAAAAATATCTAAAGGAGAAGAATAACCTAAATGTACCCTTTTACCTAAGGAATTTGCCAACGTGCTCTGACCAATCCTCTGAACCCCTGCTATCAAAAGGTTTATCACCTCTTTCTTTTCGTTTTCTGGAATTTCTGCCTCTGCTGTTCTGCCCACCTGAATTTATTCTCACCCGGATGCATTTTGATGAAGAATCTGGTCCATCAACTGTGTCGGTGACAAGGAACTTGAAGTGCTGCTTAAAAAAATTATGCACTGCCTGGAAGAAAAATAATGTAAGCCAGAAACGAAACCGAGAGAGTCAACTGGGTTTCATTTACTCATTTTGAATATGGTGGTAAAGGTGGTTTATGCAGATTAAGTTTGGAAGAATTATATGTACATTTTCACATTAGCGGAAATCAAATACTCAGTTCCACCCTGACCTCTCTGATTGCACAAGTGTCATGTCTACGTCTCTATCCAAAACACTATCTAAATTAAAAAAAAAAAATAGATAAGACCGAAAAACTAACCGTTCGATGAGATTTATCATAATCTGGGGAAAGAACAATAGGCATAACACCATCTTCCCCACCGGAATTAATTTGTTTGATAAAAGTTTCCAAGAGCTCAGCATCATTAGGATCAGCAAGAGCTCTAAATGATTCAATTTCGGTAGTATAATCTTTACTTGTACCATCACCTGTCGTTGTTCCACTTTCCTGAACTGCCTGAATAAACCCGAAGAATTATACTTCCCATAAATACTAAATTGTACATACACATACGTACTTCTGATGAGAACAAAAGTATGAACTTATTCACCTCCACCGGCGCATCCAAGTTGGTCAAATGAACAACATTTCCCTCCTTATCTACTTCGTTTACCATAAAATCCGAATACCTATACGATTCACCAAGATAAAATAATAAGCTTTAAGATATCGACAAATAATTTATCTCTAAAAATAATAACTTATATGCAAATTACGAATCCAATGAGGAAAATAATTATAAAAAAAAAATGCTGAATTTCATATCCTGTGGTTATTTTTCTTCAAGCTCCTGACTTTACAGCAAAATAATACTTTCATTAAATTTTCCTACATTTTCTAGGCATCCAAGCACATCGTAACGACAATAAATAACTTGAAAATCCCAAACAGAACAGAGTGCTCAAATTTCTCATACAAATTTATAACCCAGACCTTTGCTTTAAAATGCCGCGAAATCCAGGGAGCTGAGAGATGTAGCAGACGATTCCGACGTCGGATTCCTCCGTGGTTTTTGTCGCCATTAGGGCTTTTAAGGCGGTGGTTAGCGGTGGTGGTGGAGGAGTAGCAGAGCAGTAGGGTTTTAGCGTAGAGAAGCATGATGGTGCGGGCTTAAGCCACATTTTGATTTTGGGGATACCGCTTTTTCCCGGGAAACGCACCGTTTCGCTCCTATTCCAACTATTCCGTTTGACAAATTTCTTTTGTTGATTGTAAATTGGCCCCTTAAACTTGGCTATTATTCCAATTTGGTCCTCAGATAATAGATATTCTTTTTCCCATCTTAGGTTGACGTTGATCCCTAAGCTTTTGAAATCCTTGAGGGCAACAGAGATGATCGGGCATGTTTACCAACTAAGAATCGGAGTAAGCAAGAATTAAGATAAGCGCGGCTCATAATCAAGCATTGACATTAAATTGTTTATTAATTGTCAAAGATCGAAATGAAAGTAAAATTGATTCTCATTATAATGATTTTATAATTCTTCTTGTTGGAAACGAGATGGATTTTCAAAACTTGCGGAGCCCTTCTTTTTGTCTAGTTCAAACTTTTTCTGATGACTATTCTAAAATCGCTAGCGCTAAGTTGATGTTGAACAAAGTGAAAAATACTAAAATTTCAGGGTGGTGAACATGAAATCTGATATTGTGTAGAATTACGATTGTGACCCTGAGCCATTGAGAATGAGCCGACAGAGAAAGAAGACAAGTACAACCGTGAGAGTGCGTTCTGAGTCAATTCCCTCTCTCCTCCAATCGAAACAGATCGATCGAGAAGCCGGCTAGAGAGGGAAACATCTAGAGAGAGAGAGAGAGGAGCTTCGCTCGCTGGATTGGCGAAGATGGTGAGCAAAATGGAAGAAACCCAATTGAACAGGCTTGAGAACCAGGTCGATAATGGAGGAGGAGGGGCCTGGGAGTACCTCTGCTTGGTCCGAAAGCTCAAGGTCCGCCGCTCCGAGAAGGTCTTGAAGTATGGCCTCTCGATCTTGAACGACCTCAAAAAAAGATCCAGTCTCGGCACGGAAGGTGAGTTTTTGAGCTTCGTATTGTTGTTCCATCTGGGTTTTTTGTTAGTTCAATTGGGTTGTGGTTAATTTGCTTGTTTTTGTGATCTTGATTACTTGATTTGAATTGGGCATGGATTAGAATTGCTTACTGATGAAAAACTATGGACTCTTTGCAATTTGGTGTTTTTAAATTTGTGTGAGTTCAATTTGGTTTGTAGTTATTTTGCAGTTAATTTGTCATATAAGCTTAATTTGAATTTGTGTGATCAAGAAATGGATTTGATTGTTCGAATTTGATGTTTTCGGTTAGTTTAACTTTGCCGTGAGTATTGTGCAACAAGCATCCTCTGATTTGGATTTTGGAGTTCTTCTTTATTGGGGGGAGATTTTGGGTTCTGACTAACAAGTAGTATGTATTTTTTGATGTAGAGTGGACTTTGTATGAGCAAGTGGCAATTGCTGCCATGGACTGCCAGTCTCTTAATGTTGCAAAGGTGTGATATATTTTTTGGCTTACACTTCTGAAATTGCATAGCTTTTATTTTCGAACTTTAAACTTTCCGCTTGCCCACTTGGGAGGGGGGAAGATACTGAAATTGTTTTATAACCTACCCTGGATTTGAGAATCGTAAGATTTGTGTAAGGCGAATGTGATATATTCTGCTCTCTCATGCCTGCCTTACTTGAACTTTTGCAGGACTGCATTAGGCTTTTACGCAAGGCATTTCCAGAGAGTAAAAGGGTTGGTAAGTTGATTAACTGATTTGAATCATGTGTGTAATTCTGATTTTTAGATCCAATAATGGTGTCAAAATAATTGGCTAAACATTTTTTTAGGAAATTTTGGCTAATCGGCGTGGAAATTAATACTTTTAGTGTTAGCTCTTGCTGGGTGGTGGCTTAACTATTTGTTTTGGCACAAATCACAGGTAGGCTAGAGGCTATGTTGCTAGAGGCAAAGGGATCTTGGGCAGAGGCAGAAAAGGCTTACTCAAGCTTTTTGGAGGAAAATCCACTCGATCAAGTAATCCATATAAAAACTCTTCATGGAAGGATCAATCTACATTTTTTAAGATGGATCATGTCCCCTTATATTTGTTAAATAGCATGTTCTTTTTTCGAGCAAAGATCAATGAAAAATGGTTATGTAAGTTCAAATTATTTTTGTTATGCAGGTGATACATAAGAGAAGAGTGGCTATGGCAAAGGCACAAGGAGACACCTCAGGGGCCATTGAGTGGCTTAATAAATATCTGGAAATGTAAGGCGTATATTAAATTCCTTAGAAGAAAAATATTTTATGTCACCAAAAAAAATTTGCTGAGTTGTATTTTCCCCTTTCGACAGATTTATGGCTGATCATGATGCATGGAGAGAGCTGGCTGAAATCTATGTTTCGTTGCAGATGTATGTTTTCAGCAGACTTATTGAAACCTCTTGTCTTCTAGAATCAAATTACATATGTTTTGTTGCTAAGTTATGTTTTTTATGTAAACTAGGTACAAGCAAGCTGCGTTCTGCTATGAGGAGCTGATATTATCGCAACCTACTGTTCCTCTTCACCACTTGGCTTATGCTGATGTAAGTTTTTCTTCGGCCTTTTACCGGCCAGTAATTCCTGTTTGCATTATAGAAATGTTTGTGTGCTGGTTTTTCACGACTAAAAAATTTATTGTTCATTAGAAAAAGCTTCATATGTACCCTTTCGTTGATAGCTGTAAAAACCAAAAAATAACCTAAAATCTTCTTTTATATCCCCCAAATTACTGCAATACTATACCAGACTTCTTAATTAGCAATGAATTATCGGCTTACAAATAAAGGAAATGTTTTGCATCAGCACTGGCTTGTCTTATGTAAAATTTGTGATTTGAATGGAAAATTTACACACGGGACTTAAGATGGTGCAAAATGTCAAGCTAGAGTCAGGGCTAGGATACGATATCCTAAAATAGAGGGCTAATGAAATTGATTTTGTGAAGCAACTCCTAATATGAACACCTCATATCCAACTTGCAATCTACATCCTTTATATTTTGTTGCCCTACTATTTGGAAAGGAGTCAAACGACCAAATGTGAGTATTCTGAGTGAAGAAATTAAGCAATGCATTTTCAACATACAATCATGATTACATGTTTAACAGCACTAAAGACCCCCATTAAAGCACATTTCTGATATTTTGCTTTGTGTGGTGAACAGGTGCTTTACACTCTTGGTGGATTGGAAAACCTTCAGACCGCAAAAAAATACTATGCATCTGTTATAGACTTGACCGGGGGCAAGAATGTCAGAGCACTTTTTGGTATTAACCTGGTGAGTTCTTCCTCTTGAATTGCATTGCTGATCCTGCTGTGGCCGAGAGTCAGTCGTCTCTTTAATTTGATTGTTCAAGTGTTAGACGCCGGATATTTAATTTGATTATTCAGATTGTTTTTCAGCCCTTTCTTTTCCTGCTCTTGTGACCAACTTGAATTACTGAAAGAACGTTTTAACTCCTGCCTTCCAGTGCACTTCTGCCATCGGACAGCTTGCAAAAGGAAGGAACAAGGAAGACAAAGAGAGCTTAGAGCTACAATCACTGGCGGCAACAGCATTGGAGAAACACTACAAGCAGAGAGCTCCTGACAAACTTTCCCTGCTTACGACCGCTTTGAAAAGCTTGAAAGTTTCATCATAACTGCTTAATCTTCGAAGAATCTTCATATACCAAAACAGGCGAGTGGTGACTTGGTGCCGGATGGCTTTGGATTACAAGAATCTCATATCTAGTTATGTTAAATGATTTTTTTTCGTGTTTCGACTTGTTTGTGTCTTTTTTCCGAGTCCTTAATAAGAGGACGATATGTATTCTTTAGGATGGCCACAGTGGCTAACTAGGAATGTATGAGTAAGACCCGTTCTTCCTTGTGGAATAAAAATTTATTTTTATCCAAATTCAAGTCTCTAGTTCAGTTCTTTGGCGATGTTTATGCAGTTTTTGTGTTCAAGTCAATCGTTACGAGCTTATGATTTAGAGGCGACGCCGGATGAACTCCCGTCGGAGTCAAGGGTGACGCTGGATGGACTCCCGCCAGAGTCAGAGGCTACACCGGAGGTACAATCAAAACTCGCCGCTGCTATTGCAACCTTCGCACTACTGCATGATGTCAATCTTTCAAGAAGAGTATCTAGTTTCATGTTTTGCTTTCTTCCATGATGCCATTTCAGATCCCTCCGCCTCTAGAACTTTATATCTTTACGGTCCCAGTGGAGGTGGGAAAACCCATCGCATCAAGAATGTCAGATCACACTTGATAGATTTAAAGAAAGCATTTCAAAACCCTCAATTCCATAAACATCAGTTGGTTCATTCAATTGATAGAAAAAATCGATACAAACAATAAGGAATTCAGGGTTTTGAAATGCATTCTTTAAATCTATCAAGTGTGATTTGACAAAATATCGAAGTGAATCTTGAACAAAATATTGAGATGAGATGACACATCTTAATCAACTTGGAAGGAATTGGTTTACTTTCTCATGACTGATATTTTTAAGTACAGAGTCTCTCCTTACCAACCTTACCTCCACAGATTCTTTCTTAGTCCGAGACAATATTAATTTGAATATCAAATCCACCCAAATGCTTTTTCATCCTATGAAGGGTAACAATTGACTAATATTCTTGAACAAAATATGTGCTTTATCCATTGAGAAAGCTTAATATAGTACCTTAAGCATAAAGCACATATTGGCTTCAAATAGAGTATGTTAATGATAATTTCGATAAAAGAAAATGTGAACAAAACAAGATTCACCTCGATATTTTGTTTAAGAATATCAGTCAATTGTTACCCTTCATAGGATGAAAAAGAAAGCAACCAGCTGGATCTGATGCTTCTTAGATAGAGAAACTGAGGAAAGCATAACAGTTATTATAGCTGATAACCTAGATACATATATGGGTAATAACTAGCAAGATTTGTAGATTGAGATGTGCCATCTCACCACTAGGAATTTCTTGTCAGTTGCTACTGGAAGGAAAATGCTTGGTGAGGATTTATCTTGCCAGTTATTACCCACGCATCTATCTAGGTTATCGGCTATAATAACTCTTATGTTTTCTTCAGTTTCTCTATCTAAAAAGCATCAGATCCATCCGGTTACTTTTCATCCTACGAAGGGTAACAATTGATTGATATTCTTGGACAAAATATCGAGGTAAATCTTGAACAAAATATTGGAGAAAAACTTTGTATTTGGTGTGTAAGCTTTAAGTTGGATATAAGGTTTATATAAAGGAAAATAAAAGGATAAGGTTGTAGATAATGTCACGCGGCGTGATTAATTGAAAATCATATAAAAAATCTATCCACAAATATTTTAAATGGATAATGACACGTGGTACGACAGGATTGATTAAAAATCCTATCAGAAATATATTCACAAAATTCTTACAGAATTATGACACGTAACGCTACAAGATTGGTTAAAAATCCGATCGAAAATCTATCCACACAAATTATAATTTCAAATAATGATACTTGCATTGATGAGATTGGTTAAAAATCTTATCCGAAATTAAAAATAAAATTATCTTTTTGTTAATTTTTTTTTAAATAAATTTTTAATACAAAAATTACCTAGACAATTCATTTATGGGTGGAGATGTACTCGAATGGTTATTACTTTAGTCTAAAGTAGGAGGGGAAATCGCACTATTCATATGAACAGTGTTTTGGACCACATTTCAGTTTATTTACAAGACTGCCGCTGAATCTCTCTACTTTTGATCCCCGTGTGTGAGCCGTGCTTCAGCCAAAACAGGTGCGCTCTCCAATTTTCATCTCTTCCATACTCAAACCCTAGCCGCTCGACCTCTCTCTCTCATCTCCTTTCGTTAGCTCTGCTACAACTCAAAACCTCGACAAAACACGATTCCCCTTCTGCAAAAGCTCGAGAGTTTTCTCTCTCTGAGAATTAAAAAATGTGAGCTCGCTGATCTCTCTGAGAAATCATGGCCTCCATTTTTGTCAAAAACCAAACTCAGGCCTTGAGTTCACAAAATCTGGAGAGCTTTCTCTCTCGCTTTGCTCTCCAGGTAAGCCCGAGAGAAATTCCATGGAAACATCACGCCTGCAAACGAAGTTGCAGGCCCACACACCAGCAAACTCCATCTGAAAGTCGAAGAATCCAAAGGTAAATCCCTTCGAACTCTTCGATTATGAACATCCATCGTCTTCCACCTCATCTTTTTCTTCTGTTGCTGCTTCGACCAGTAGGGATACTTCAGGCGGTGCTGCTGCTGCTTCCGGCGAAACATCACCACAGAACCACCACCATTCACTCTGTTCTACTCAGGACACACAGTCAGTTCTAAAATGTCCGGTCTTGCTGTGATGGGTTATCGAGTTCTTGCATCGGGTCGTTCAAACGAGGCATTCAGGTATTGTATGTATTTGATTAATTAATTAACTATTTATTGATTATATTTTTTGATGTTTCTGTGATCCTGCCCTTCGAAGCTCTGGAGTTTGGCTTTGGCTCCGTTAGCTGTTGAGGTAATTATTAATCCATGCCAAGAGAGGGTGATAGTGAGAGAAATCGTCGGGATTGCAGGGAGATAAAGAGAGAGGGAGGAGTAGGGGTGGTGAACAGTGGCAAGTTAGGTTCGTGTATGCGGGATATGTGGAATAAGAATACATTTGAGAGTTTTAGGTATTTTTCAGCGTCCCTGTTTAATTTCTGGATTTGTGCTTTTCGATTTGCAGCTGGATTTTGTGTTTGGATTTTTTTTTTTTGTGATTTTGGGGGTTATGTCTGTGTGCTTCGATCTTGCGTCTGGTTGTCTAATTTGATTCGGTTTTTTCTTTCAGGAAGGCTGGTCATCAAATTTTGGAGCCGTTGTGTGCAGCGTTGGTAGCCCTTTTGTGCTGAGGGTATACAATTTTTGTTTTTCCTTTTGAGTCTTTTGTTAAGATTTTTTTTTTTTTTTTTGGTGGCCTTTGGTCTGCAGATACAACTTTTGTTTAAATTTTTGTTTTTTTCAAATTTTGGCTATTTTGTTTGTGTTTAGATGCTCAGTGTGGGTTTATGGTATGGTTTTCCTTTTATTTTCAGGAAACGGTGCTTTTTGTTTTCTGGAACCGCTTGCAGAGCGCACACTTGAGAATCTCAGACCAAAGGTAAAAGGTAAAAATCTCTGGCTTCCTTTAGTGGTGTAAGCTTGCACGAAAGAGAGAAACAATAACCAAAATTTTATCTGAAGAAAACCAAGAATTTTGAAGCCAATTACATTGGCTTAAGAATTTCTTAGGATACAACTTGCACTCGATCGACAGTTTTATTTATTTGCCTCTGTTTTCTTGCTTGGAAAATATTATTTCCAGCCCTCAAAGCTAACCAATTGAAATTTCTGTTCGGGCAACAACCAACACATAATTCTAATAAAAAAGAAGTAGCGAGAAGAAGAATGTAACACAGAGACACATGCATGTCGAACTTCATTGCTAGATTTTATTATTTATCATAACTCAGTAAAGAAAAATTACAGACGCTGCCTTCATAGGTTTAGGGTTTTATTTTAGATAAATTGCGGTGCACTGTCTGTGCTAAAAGTTTTTGGATCCAAAGCGGTCAGGATGCTAATTTATAAAGAATTTTTCTTTAAATTTTTGTGTTCTTTTGTGATTTCATTTTATCTGAATTATTCATTTAATGTTTGAGATGCACTACCTTGCAGACTATTGTTCTCTTTTGGCTATAACAAGAAATTTGATTGTGCAGATTGTATTTGTTTTGGGATCTATAAAAGGATATTACAAGGAACATATCTTGGCTGTTGATACCATACTTGGATTCTAAACTCTCCAAAGCTGCCTTCATCTGGGTTATTTTCTCAACATTCTCTTTTTCGTGTACGGTTGGTTTCGTATACCATTGCAAGTGTTAAATTTGTGATTTGTTGTTTATGTGGTGAAAAAATAGGTTGCTAGAATGATTCAGATTATTTATTTGTTACACGAAAAAAAACTTTTAGAACTCCCGGTAGAAAGAGATTTCGCTAACGAAAAAGTCTTTTATTTTTTTGTGAGACTTAAGAGGTTACCTTCTCCAAACGCATAAATGGACTTTTGAAGAAGGCTTTTGACCTCTCTATCCTCTACGATGCTGAAGTTGCCCTCATGATCATCTTCTCTCCCTCTGGCATGGCCTGCCAATTTGCAAGCCACGAGTACGTTTAATTAACAAATAATTCAACTAGCTAGCTAGGTTTGATGATCATCTTTTCAATTAATATGGTTTTGCTAACGTGTAATGCAGTATAAACAGGACCATTTCCATGTATAGAGGTAAAGTAGGGGGTTGCCTGAAATCAAACAACTTAATTTTGTGTTCCAATATCACAAAGAATGGTGCAGGAATTTTCATATTTGGGTAGATTTTTATGAATTGTTCTTATGCTAAAGGTTGAAATGATCTTATTCACTTTGATCTTTTCTAGAAGCTATTTGTTAATGGTTGTTAACTTGGCTAAATGAGTTTTTCATGCTACCATTTTGTTTAAATGTAGAAACAAAAACTAATATCCATGAAAAGAAAGATGAGTTATAAGGAAAGATGGGATATCCGTTTAAGCTTGACTGAAAGTTAGAGTGTAATGCTTGGTGATTGTCTAGCACAGACATGATACAAAATCCTAACATAATGCACCTCTCTGACTATCTTCCCCCTCTCTCTGACTATCTTCCCCCTCTCTGACTATCCCAGAGAGGTGAATTATGTTGACAAATGGGATGGTGGATTATAATGTTGTATTAATTAGTATGTTAGGATTTTGTATCATGTTGTGTGAGTTAATGTTTTCTGTTCTATGTTGTGAATGATTTTACATTCATTGCTGCCAGGTTTTTGTCCCAGTGTTTATATGTGATCCCAGTCTTTATAGACGTGGGCTTTCAAACTAAGCAGAGCCTGAAAAAAAGTGTCAATCTTTTTTGTTATGGGGTTGTGCCAATCTTTATAAATACAATGTTTTGAATCGGCCAAAAAAAAATAAGGTTGTGATGTTGGTAGTTAGTATATGTGCTTAATGCTGCCCTCGATGCAACTTACGCTTCTATTCCCTGCACTGCTACAAGGTATGCATGTTGATTTGTACATATTTTTATTTATTTTATTTTATAATATTTAGCAAAATCAAACATTTGATCACCTTCTTTTGATTTTGGGTTTTGGTTTTGGTGGATTTGAAATTGGTGATTGGATAACACGTTGGAATTTGAATTTTCATGTGTTTTGTAATTCTGAGTCTGTATTTGGATGCTTTATGTTAATGTGTTGGATTACCATACATACTAGCCTTACGTGACTGCCTTGATTTATGCATGATGGAACTAAATTACTTTAATAGATCATTTTTCTGGTCTTCTTACTTTTGTTGGAATGTTGTTACTGCAATCTGTTAATTTTGGATTGTTTTGTGTCATGGGTTCTGTAGAATTAGTCTCCAGTTGTGTCATGGGTTGTGTCATCCCACAAACAATTATGCCATGAGTGGGGTGCTGGATGATTGTTAAAACATGAGACTTATCAAAATGCAAATAGGAAATAACACCTATGTAAGTATACTCTGGTTTTGACCCTGCATTCTTAGTTGTGTGAGATATATATGGTTGATATCAACTAATTATGCATATTGCAATTATATTCCCTTAATTAATGGGGCTAACCTTTATGAATTGAGTATAGGATTTAGATGCATAGTGTTTCGCTGGGAACATGAAGACTGCATTTGGGAGTGTGCATTAAATGTATTTGATGCATCAACATTTTTTTTACTTAAAATAACCCCAAAGGTTTGGCCTTTCTGTATTTTCATATAGCATTCAACCAACAACATGCCATTAGGTCTCTGTTCTCTACACAAACTAAAACAAATATTAAGTCCTTTAAACCAATAAGTAATGATAATTACGTTATTGTCTTTCCCAATACACAACAAATTGGAACAAAAACTATATATATATAACACTTCCATATGCTTATTTCTCTTTCTTAGATGAAATTATCCATATGTCAAATAAACCATAGTGGATAATTTCACTTCATTATATATAACACTTCCACATGCTTATTTCACTTCATTATTTTTTGCATTCCAGTTGGTCTTTGTTTCGTTCTCAGATAGTTATCAGCATAGATAAAGTAAAATTCCGTTCTTGGCTCTCTTTTTTGTTACTGTAGCATCTGCTTATCTGTTAGTGTAAATTTGGGTTATGTTGGATTTTTCAATTTGATTCTCCAATATATTTTTTTGATGACAAACTGTTCTAATCAGTAATTCCCCACTCTTGAGAACTTGAGACCTTCGACTGATATGCATTTCTGAGATTTTCTGGTATACTCACAGACCCCTGAGATTTTCGTGTCTCCACAGTTCTCCAGCCAACGACAGACCCCTGGTTGCCATACTTTCGTTGCACGCAGATCTTCTGGTATACTCACTAAGCGTAAATTTAATGGTTTATAGAAACTTTTAATAGTTCCATCCTAAATATCTTCCTTTATTCTTGATGCCATGCTACTTGCTCGACCCTTTCTTGCATCAGTTGTGTCACCTAAAATTAAAATGAAATGAAATAGTTTCCCTACATGCTTAATGTTGTGAATGCCGGTGATGTTAGAAATTTAGTGTTGTTGCTCTCCTTAATATATCCGTACTCATGTTTTTACAGATGCGCAGTTCAAAAGAACTGGTTACTACTTGGGTGAGAGGTGTATAATTTCATTAAAAAAAAAAAAAAAACTGTTTTGGTTGCTGGTGGTGAATTGTATGTATTCTTGCCTTGGAGTTGGATGCACTTTGTGTAATGGATTGTGATTTGTTTGAAAATATCTTTGGTGATGATTGAGTATAATGTGTTTTCCTAATACTGTTTTTCTCCCCCTTTGTAGTCCAGTCGTGCAGAAGACATCTCCATTAACCGGTAACAGATGAAATCGTTTGCTGTCGAGGTTCCCGTGAAGAAGAGCAAAAATGCTGCAAGTGGAGGATAGATAACAGCTCAAGACACATGGTATGAGGGTGCAGGTAAACTGTACATATGCATCTGGAAAAAGTAAAAAGTTAAGGCGGGTTGGTTGTAACTTATCCTTCTCACCACAACAGAAAATACTTTTGAACTGCATTAAGCTGTTAAAAAATTAAGCTTAAGCTATATTTTACTTATCAAAAATGGGTAACCTGTCACCTTTACAAAGTTTTCTGGTAAATTAGATATATAGTTTAATTCAAAGAGTTGTATTGACCTTTACTTTTATTAAATTATATAGTTTAATTACGTCCCCTTTGTCCAATCCCTATATATCTGCTCAACTCTTGGGTCAATTATTTGCCAGTAGGAATGTTTAATTGCTTGATCAATGATGTCAGTTCAATTTGAAGAAATAGGACTTTTGTTCAATAGGGATTGAGACTCTCACATACGAGTAAGATGTCTCAATTGTTCATTGATTCCTAGGTGCTATGTCTTTTTAGTTGCTTTGTGTGGAAACTATTCATGCATGTTGCAACTAACACATTCAAGTCCCGCAGCAACGCGCGGGCATATTTTCTCGTTATTCACTAAAGCAATAATTTTTCAATACAAATTTGACGCAGGAAATGAGCACACATTTTACTTGGTAGCCTTCGCATCTCCTCCATCTATTTACTTTTGCTTTGCTGCAGAATCTTTCCATCACCAAAACCAGATTCCTAATTAGAAGGTTTGTTCATGTTGTCAGGCAAGTCTGGATCCTTGCCGGATCTTCTTGTGAGGATTTAAATATTTTTATTTAAAAATAAACGTATACAGTATTTAACAAAAACTGACGGTACGATAAACGATTTACAGATGCTCAGGATCCTCACCAAAAAAATCCGGAGAGGATCCTGTTGGTTGTCAGGCAGTGCTTCTCGGAGGCATCAAAACCGGAGTCCACCCAGAGTGGAAGGAAACCAAAGTAACAAATGTGATCGAGTTCCAGTGCGAATTGCTGTTCAACAATCTTATATAGAGATTGCTGTTGGAGAAAGCTTGGCTTGCAAACTAAGAGTTTTGTGTGCATTAATTTGATACTGAATTACGACTTGAACCTCTGTGCAACTTGAGATTCTTCACAACAATAAGCAAACATCTTGAATGTGCTTTTAAAATGATTAAAAGCGCTTTTGGTGAAAATATTTTTAGAACCAATCCTCCTGGAAAAACAGTAAAAGTGCTTCCTGAAAGAAACACATAATTGATGCTTCTTGCAGAAAACACTTGTGCTTTGGAATCAAAAAACATTTTCTTTCAAAACACTTTCAATCATTTTAAAAACACATCCAAACGAATTTCTCAACAATAAGCATACATGTAATTTGACTCCTTTGTCTTGGAGGAAGTGAAGATAATGACATCGAAACAATAGCGTATGCTAAACATTGATGATAAATTCATGCGGCATCTTCACAGCAATAAGCAGCATACACATAATTTTCGAAAGAAAAACATTCAGCATACATAAACACGTGTTGGAACCTCGAATTGTCCCACATCGGCCAAGAGGGAAGAAGAGAACCCATTTATATAGAATTACCCCATTTTACCTAACATCGAGGTTTTTTATGATAAAACTTTGCACCTGAGGATTGCGCAGGTGGTTAAGTGGGGACAATATCGATATTATTGGAGTGGACCCTCGACCCGTCGACCTGAAAAATTCTACATGGCTACATGGCCTCCTTTCAAGATCATTAGTCAAGCATCTAGCTTGGCACGAATGCGGGAAAGGAAGGTGCTCCGATCTCAAACCTACAGATCATTCGCTTTGAGGCATCGAGTCTAGCCTCCTTGAAACAATGGTTACGGATTCAAGATTTTTAGCAATAGCAGTAATTGCATTGCAATGCCAATCGATAACTTCCAAACATCTGAGACCCACAGCGGTCATCCTCATGACATAGAAATCGTCAGCATCTGCAGCAGCAGGAGAACACGAAACAATTGACAAATTGTCGAGTGCGGGGGAAAGGCATCCGCCTGAAGGGAAAATCAAGGATAGGAAAGACAGATTTGAGGGACAGAGTTCTCAAAGATGGAAGTGACACAGGACGGCGAGGTTCAATAGTTACCGTCACATGCTCCAGTTTTAGAGTGGTTAAAGATTTTGAAGAAAAAAGGGTTCCGGGTAAGATGTAATCTACTTTTCCTCCTCCTCTTAAGAGAAACACAAACGTATTACAAAACTCGACATCGTTTTAGAAGTAACAGTTAACTCCATCGGTGATTCAGTATTGGTAACATAAAGATTGCAACAAGCCACATCTTTGTATCACAACAATGCAGCAAAGAATATGCGTTGAACTGGAGTGCGTGACTGATGCTTGTGGCCTAAGTCACTGCTTTCATGTTGATTCAAGAGTTGGAAAAGCCAAATAATTGGGAGATCTTGATCCCTTGCTGCTGTCCGTAAACTACCAGTCATAATTCATGCAAAAAGTCCCATGTTTTTCTTGGTTGGACTTGGACCAGCCCAACTGGCGATTTCCATCTTCCTGAATTGCGAGAGCAAGAACAAATCTGTCTTCTTTTTTCTGCACCCTTTTTCCGATTTCCTGATTTTTCTCTTTCGACTTTAGTTTCTTAGACTTCTATCGTGGCGCAAGTCACTGCTTTCGTGGTGATTCCAGAGTCGGGAATGGTGGAATGGATCTCAGAACTAACTTCCTGCCGCCCCTCCAAGCTGACCCAAACTCGCTGCCGCTGTGAGGAGGCGATACCCTCTTTGAGTTTGGAGAGGTTTGTTGGATACTGATATAAATATAAACTTGATGTATAACAAGTATCCCAGATTACATTCATGCAAATTTATACATGATACCTGGTGCAGTCATCCTTACTAGTTGAAATGCAATTCTTCTACTTGTTTAAGACCTTATGTTCCAAAGGTGATAGAACCCTTAATCTCAGAACAATACTTCACAAGTAGGGAATTGGATTATATATATACACAGACTTCATCTGATTTCCATCTATCGTGGAAATCAGTTACTGCAGTTGTTGGTGTTAACCCAAGTCAATCTGCCGTTTCATCCACTCCATGATTTGATGCTCCACATGCAGTGCACTGTGCTTTACAGATTGGAATATGGTTCCCACCTTAAGGATGTAATGATTATGCATAGTGGACAGCAAGGCCACTGCATGTGTATACTGACTGATGATTCATAGACAGCAAGGATGCAACTTTCAGCAGATTTGTTTATTTGCATGCGTGTGTAAAGTATCTGTGAACAAAACTCTGCTGCAATTGCAGCAGATGATGATTTATATACTTATAATGTTAGTCAAGTCCAATTAGGTATCCAACATTCTCCCACATGGACACAGACTAAACATTATAATCAAAGTCATGCCTTTCACAACACTGATACCTCATGTGATCACATCAAGTTTCACGCATACTAACTTCCTTTCAACTACCATAATTAATTTAAATATTTGAACTCCAGAAAATCATGTGTTTATATACAACACAAGCACCCTGAAACCACAATTACTTAAAACTAATATGTAGAAAGAAACTTTAGACTTTTCAATGAATTTATATTCCTTCATTCATTCAAAGCAGTCATTTCATGGATCAACTTTGGAAGATCCTGATGCATTCATCGAATTGCATCCCTCGAATTATTCATGTCCAATCATCAAGACACTAGAATAGACATATACATGCATACAGTCAGCAACTCAGACAACCAATAGGCTCAACAAGTGCATATGATTCAGTAGGTCTTGATAGTGAACAACATAAATAACATTCGAAGACATATTTGAAATATACATGTGACTTACATCAAGTTTTTCTTACTCCCACACTTCAGCAGATTCTAGAGATTCAAGCACTCCCATCTTAGAGACATGATCCTTGAATACTCCTACTGCCAATGGCTTAGTCAAAGGGTCAGCTATCATTGAATTTGATTCAATATGCTCAATCGTGATTTCACCCTTTCTCACATGTTCTTTCACTAATTCTCCCACTTTTGAACTTCCACTTATCATGTTCCTTGTCCAACGTATTAAGCCAATCCCTTTGTGATCACTCAAGTCATGTCAACCATACAACAACTCACATCTGCCATGAATAGCTTCAAAAGTTGAACCCCAGAAAATTAGTACTTCATAATTTGTACTAACACTCTGAAATCACATCCCCCAAAACTACTCATGCATGATATTAACAGAGCAAACAAACATATTTAACATGTCTATTATTTACACTCCCACTGATCAAACCAAACATCATTGTCAAGCCATTGTTTGGCTCCAATGATAAGCCTTTTACAATAACCAGCTCATTAAACCTCGGTTTGATTAGTAATTCATCATTTCAAACATTGCATATATATATGAAACAACATCAAATATGATACAATCATATTCGATCCTTTATCAAACTCCAATGAGTTTGCCTAATGCTTCCAACTGAGCCTCAATTCTGCCTTATGCAGATAAACTAGTCATTGAGTGAATAACCATGACATGCAATTTTATGTAACACCTTTGGGCAAGAGACATAAAATATCAGTTATGCAATCTTAATCATGCATCCTTATTTGCAGAGCTATTTCACAAAAATTTCAAGTTACAACTCAAATCATGTCTTTGGACAAGGGATCAAAGTTGACTTTAAACTTTTATAAAATACTACACACTACATCACAGTTCAAGCCATTCACTATTTCTTTCTTTTGAAAGATTGGTCTTATGCAATGAATTGTCACTCACAAAATTCAATTAATAATCCCTTGAACAAAATTTCCTAATAATTCCCACTTTGGTGAAGATTTATTCAAACATTTGTTCAAGTATAGAGATTATTAGTGTTGAAAACCTGCATAAAACTTTAGCATTTCAATTTGATTGTAGAAATCATCCAAACGTCAAATGAAAAACCAATTTTCTACACAAGTAAGTTATAATTATAGATTATTTTCACATGTATCAGGAACCTTGCAACCTACCAGCCATATTCAAGTTCAACATAAATTTACTAAGCTACAATCTACACCAATGCCTATTGCCAATACATATTTAGATATCAAAAAAAAAAAAAAACTGATTTCAATCATATACCAGATTTCAATCAGATATCGATCATCGTTTGTGAATCTGAAACAACCATGACTACCAATTCTAGAATGATAAAAGCGCAGCTTACAGTGTTTTAATCTCCAAACCATATATTCCTTTTCCTGCTATGAATAAAACTTTGGCAGCAGCATATGGCATTAGAACAATTAATCATGCTA